TTGCACTTGTTTGAGCTGGTTAGGTCGATTTGTTTGCCTGCTGCAGTGCGCACTGCTCCACATACGATTGTAGTAATGATGTTGATAATGATGATGGTGGTGGTGTTGGTGGTAGTGGTGGTGATAACGATGATAATGTTAATGATTAGGGACCATATGCTGAGAGCTCAAGCCCTGATGTTGTCGTGCATGAGATGTGGTTGTATGCAAAAACAATGGTCAAATATTTGTTTCCTGGGTTTGTGATCAGACAAACAGAGGATCGATGGACGCATGATGTAGCCACTCCACCCCGTGTGGGATTCCTCTCTGTCTCCGTGAGTGCCGTCCCCACACTCTGGAACTCAACATCTGCGTCTCTGTCTCTCAGTTCGCTGTTCTATGTTTGTGTGTTTACTCGTATGTATGTCTCTGTGTGTGTATGACATGAGCATCAAAGTGTCGGTGAGTGGTAAAAGCGTCGGTGTGTTGTTGAGTGCGTGCTTGTTATAAGCATAACTGTTTCTGTGTGTGTGTCAGTAGTAACAGCATCGATGTGTTGGTGAGTGTGTGTTTGAGTGGTATCAGCGTCGGTGTGTTGGTGAGTGCGTTTTTGTTAAAAGCATAACTGTTTCTGTGTGTGTCGTCAGTAGTAACAGCATCGATGTGTTGGTGAGTGCGTGCTTGTTAAAAGCATAACTGTTTCTGTGTGTGTGTCAGTAGTAACAGCATCGATGTGTTGGTAAGTTTGTGTTTGAGTGGTATCAGCGTCGGTGTGTTGGTGAGTGCGTGCTTGTTGTAAGCATAACTGTTTCTGTGTGTGTCGTCAGTAGTAACAGCATCGATGTGTTGGTGAGTGTGTGTTTGAGTGGTATCAGCGTCGGTGTGTTGGTGAGTGTATGAGTGAGGAAACCAGCGTCAGTGTGTTGGTGAGTGTATGAGTGAGTGATATCAGCATTAGTGTGTTTGTGAGTGTATGTTTGAGTGATACCAGCATTAGTGTGTTGGTGAGTGTGTGAGTGAGTGATACCAGCATTAGTGTGTTGGTGAGTGTATGAGTGAGTGATACCAGCATTAGTGTGTTGGTGAGTGTGTGAGTGAGTGATACCAGCATTAGTGTGTTGGTGAGTGTATGAGTGAGTGATACCAGCATTAGTGTGTTGGTGAGTGTGTGAGTGAGTGATACCAGCATTAGTGTGTTGGTGAGTGTATGAGTGAGTGATACCAGCGTCAGTGTGTTGGTGAGTGTATGAGTGAGTGATACCAGCATTAGTGTGTTGGTGAGTGTATGTTTGAGTGATACCAGCATTAGTGTGTTGGTGAGTGTGTGAGTGAGTGATACCAGCATTAGTGTGTTGGTGAGTGTGTGAGTGAGTGATACCAGCGTCAGTGTGTTGGTGAGTGTATGAGTGGGTGATACCAGCGTCAGTGTGTTGGTGAGTGTATGAGTGAGTGATACCAGCATTTGTGTGTTGGTGAGTGTATGAGTGAGTGATACCAGCACTAGTGTGTTGGTGAGTGTGTGAGTGAGTGATACCAGCTTTAGTGTGTTGGTGAGTGTGTGAGTGAGTGATACCAGCGTCAGTGTGTTGGTGAGTGTCTGAGTGAGTGATACCAGCGTCAGTGTGTTGGTGAGTTTGTGAAGAGGAGTAACAGCGTCAGTGTGTTCGTGAGTGTGTGAGACCAGCGTCAATGTGTTGATAAGTGTGTGAGGAGGAGTAACAAGAATTTGTGTGTGTGTGTGAATGAGTGAGCGCTGTCAGCATCAGTGTATCGGTGAATGTGTGTGTGTGAGCGCACACGCGTGTGTGTGTGCGCGCACGCGTGTGTGTGCGCACGCATGTGTGTGTGTGTAATATCAACATCATGTGTCGGTGAGTGTGGCTTTGCACTGCATTATTTGTCCTGACCAAAGTGGCCCCATAAACCCTAAACAAATTCCCAGCACTGCTGTCACTAACTGATGACATGTTGATGTTGTGAAAACTTGCAGAAAGGCAACAAGCATGTGATCGACGAGAAACGCTAATGAAGAACAAATATTCTGGACGTTGTTGTCTTGATATGATGACGCTGACAGATAGTCACTGTTATGTGTAAAAGTGGACAAGCGAAGTCCGCAGATAACTAACTGGAGGACATTTCAAAACTAAGCCAGATCTGAAAAACGGATGTGCACGCAAAACTCAAGATCTGGATTGCGACCAATGTCTAGGAGTGGACGAACAACCAGAACTTCCTGCCGGAGATTATAGCCGGTGAGCGGTAGAAGGTGAAATCGAAGAGCAATCATCGTGTTTTCTGGCAGGAAATTAGGACGTTACGTTTGGGAGAGGAAGACATTGTAACATATGGGACAGTTACATAACGTTTGTGAGAGAAAAACATTGTTACATTTGGGACATTTACTTTCCGTTTGTCAGAGGAAGACATTGTTACACTTGAGAGAGTTACATACCTTTTGTGAGAGGAATACATTGTAACATATGGGACAGTTACAAAACGTTTTTTTAGAGAAATTCATTTAACATATGGGACATTTACTTTACGTTTGTCAAAGGATGACATTTTTACAATTATCAGAAATTTACTTTAGGAGAAGATGGTAAAAGAGTGTGCTAATTAATTGTACATATAAAAATAGAGGTTTCTGTTAGGAGATATGTGTGATGCATGCACGCTCGCGCGCACAACACAAATGTACACACCACACATGCGCACATAGTACATGCACATACCGCACATGCACACAACACACATGCACACACCACACATGCGCACACTGCACATGTACACACTGCACATGCGCAAAACACACATGCACAAAACACACATGCACAAAACACACATGCACACAACACGCATGTACACAGGACAGCCGCAGTTTTCATACAACTCTGCTTTATATGTAATAAACACACAAAAAAAAACAAAAAAACAATGTTTTGATTAGCACTCGTAGAAAAAAGTAGAAAGATAGACGAACACACAAGACAACGTATCATTCAAAAGCTGTAGTTACCGTGCCGTAAATCGAACCTTTCACTTCCTCCAAATGGCGTGTTCGCCTCGCTATGGAAACAAGTACACTGAGAACATGGTCATCTAGACACCCTCAACTCTGCTTTAAAGCAAAGTATCATGGGATAGAAGGCTGAGTCCCGATGTGTGAATAGAATTTCCTACCGAACAACCAACCCGAAGCCTCCGTACTTGTCAAATTAGTCTGTACACAGTGAGACAATCATTTACTGGCCTGTAGCTGGAACAGAAGCACTTTGGTGGACTAAGTGACTTCGGAGACAGTGGCAGGATGGGAGAATGCTTTTCCATCTGTGATCCACGAAACTGGATGAGTTGGATAGTTGTGTGGGATGCTGTTACCGCGGTAAGGCTGTAGCCAATCGCACCACATACTTGCTCAGTGACAGTGCCATGGTTCACTTCGGAAACATTTTAAAACTCGAGCGAAAACAAATCTCATTGTACCAGCTTTTAGTAGAGGCGCGGGGTGTCTAAGAGAGAAGTCGAGTGGTGCCTGGCTGGAGCTGTCGATTGGTGTCTAGCTAGAGTCGAGTGGTGCCTAGCTAGAGCCGAGTGGGGCCTAGCTAAAGTCGAGTGGGGCCTAGTTATATTCGAGTGGGGCCTAGCTAGAGTCGAGTGGGGCCTAGCTAGTTAAGCGGTGTCTAGCTAGAGTCAAGTTGGGCCTAGCTAGAATCGAGTAGTGCCTAGCTAGAGTCGAGTAGTGTCTAGCTAGTCGAGTGGTGTCTAGCTAGAACCAAGTGGTGTCTAGCTAGAATTGAGCGGTGCCTAGCTAGAGTCGAGTGGTGTCTAGCTAGTCGAGTGGTATCTAGCTAGAACCAAGTGGTGTCTAGCTAGAGTCGAGTGGTGCCTAGCTAGAGTTGAGTTTTAACAACTTTATGGGCCCATAGGCAAACTAGCGTGCTGCGGCCCCTACTACAACCACTCACCGGAATGTAAAGATCGATACTATTAAACTTATATTTAGTTTCCTGGAGATAGGTTTTCATTCACTCAAGACCATGGTGTGTCAGATGGACGTGCTGACCATGGTGTGTCAGACGGACGTGCTGACCATGGTGTGTCAGACGGACGTGCTGACCATGGTGTGTCAGACGGACGTGCTGACCATGGTGTGTCAGACTGACGTGTTGACCATGGTGTGTCAGACGGAGATGCTGACCATTGTGTGTCAGACGGACGTGTTGACCATGGTGTGTCAGACGGACGTGTTGACCATGGTGTGTCAGACGGAGATGCTGACCATGGTGTGTCAGACGGACGTGTTGACCATGGTGTGTCAGACGGAGATGCTGACCATGGTGTGTCAGACGGACGTGTTGACCATGGTGTGTCAGACGGACGTGTTGACCATGGTGTGTCAGACAGACGTGCTGACCATGGTGTGTCAGACGGAGTTGCTGACCATGGTGTGTCAGACAGACGTGCTGACCATGGTGTGTCAGACGGACGTGCTGACCATGGTGTGTCAGACGGACGCTTGACCGTATCTGTAGAAAACCATCTGCTGTTTTCACTCCCATCAAGTTCGGGCTGGGTCTAGCACAGTGGACATGCATGGCAAGATCATTTAATTAAGAAATCCGCTCCTGCGCCCCCCCCCCCCTTTTCGGATATATACCTACACACGAAAGAGGGGCGGTGTGGGTACCATTTTAGTTTTCTAATACACGGAAATAATTTAAACGTAAAATATATTTTATTAACTGCAAGTCACTTTACATACTCAGATTAGCGTGGGGCCGCTGTTTTCGCTGGGTCGCCGGGCAAGTGCCCAGTGAGTCCGTGAGTTAAGACGGCCCTGGTCGTTGTGTTGGTCCTAGTGTAGATCCGAGTGTAATTGCTGGTGTTGGTCCTAGTGTAAGTCCTAGTGTTGGTCCTAGTGTAGGTCCGAGTGTAAGTCCTAGTAGTGGTCCTAGTGTAGGTCCGAGTGTAAGTACTAGTATTGGTGCTAGTGTAGGTATGAGTGTAAGAACTAGTATTGGTCCTAGTGTAGGTCCGAGTGTAAGTACTATTATTGGTCCTAGTGTAGGTCCGAGTGTAAGTACTAGTGTTGGTCCTAGAGCAGGTCCGAGTGTAAGTCCTAGTATTGGTCCAAGTTTAGGTCCTAGTGTAAGTACTAGTATTGGTCCTAGTGCAGGTCCGAGTGTAAGTACTAGTATTGGTCCCAGTGTAGGTCCGAGTGTACGTCCTAGTGTTGCTCCTAGTGTAGGTCCGAGTGTAAGCCCTAGTATTGGTCCTATTGCAGGTCCTAGTGTAAGTGCTAGTATTGGTCCTAGTCTAGGTCCGAGTGTAAGCCCTAGTATTGGTCCTATTGCAGGTCCTAGTGTAAGTACTAGTGGTGCTCCTAGTGTAGGTCCTAGTGTTTTCTGATCCAGTCGTTAGTCCCCGTGTAGGTCCGAGTATTCTTCCTAGTGTGTGACGTCCGCGACGCCTCTCCCAGAAAGCAGGTTATCGGTTATTGGCTGTTTTCACCCACTTTTCTGTGATCCGGGACATGAACCAAAAAAAAAAGGGTATGTGGAGAGAAAACGAAAGAAGACAATCAAAAATGGAAGAGAAGATACAGAGTATGAGATAGGTAACAGGGGAGACACAGGCAGAGGACGATGGAGAAGAGGGAAAAGATAGTGTGAAGGAATGGGGAGAATGAGGGAGAGAGCATTCAGAAATCACGAAAGAGATGGGCAGAAAGATTGGGAGAGGGGTAAAAGATAAAAAAGAGAATACGAGAGGAGAAACTGAGAGGGACGGAGGGGGAGGGAGAGAGAGAGAAAGATAAAAGAGGAGAAACTGGGGAAAACTGAGTGGGAATATAGGGAAGAGAGAGAAGCTGGGATGGTTGGGGAGCAGTAAATGAATGCTGACATTGCGGCTCTAGAGAGTCAGGCCTTGCTACAGAGATGCGCTCAATCAGTGTCTGGATATCGATCTATATTGGTCTCATTACTTGTGTAGCCGTGTGTCGAACCACATTGTCGGCCTTCCAAGGTGTTTAAAATGTTTGATCGAATGTGTTTATATTTGTATGCTGTTTGATCGAATGTGTTTATAATTGTATGCTGTCTGATCGAAAATGTTTATAATTGTACTGTTTGATCGAATGTGTTTATAATTGTATACTGTTTGATCGAATGTGTCTATAATCGAAAGTTTTGCGGTCGCATATGTTGAATTACCAGTATTCATTGCGCGCGCGACGTGAGTATTTATGCGTGTGTACGTATGTGTGTGCGTGTATGTGTGTGCGTGTATATATGCGCGTATGTTTAGTATGTGAAATTGATTCCTGTATGTAAAATCATAGGCCACATGTTTACCACATTGAGGTCACGCGATTGTAGGTATGGGGTTCATGTGGTGTGACTACACGACCTAGGATCCTTGGTCAGGGTTCCTGCTGACGGGAATAATGAGATCCACATCCGTGTATGGTGGGTTTCAACTTTGTCCTGAATGCAGTTGTCATGTCTGCTAAACTAGGGTATGTGACCTCACTAACGTCAACGACACAAATGGGTCTTTAACGTGACACAGATAGAGTGTCATGTACCCGTTAGGATATTTGTCTCATGTGCAGATGAAAGTTGTCTAGCCGCAACGCTGATTTTGTCGTTCATGCTTGTGATACTAGCTAATTCTACTTCTTGTTTCGAGTAATAATTGTTCTTGAAGTTATAGGGCGATACCGACAAACTGCAGACTTCTACCTAAGGTATTTGATGTGACACCAGTAGTCTGTCACCTTTGCATTTAAGTTATTTGACGTGACACTAATAAACTGTTACCTTCCACCTGTGTATTTGATGTGACCCCAATAGACTGTCGCCAGCAATTGAGGTATCTGACTTGACACTAGTAGACTATCATTTTATACTTGAGGTATCTGACGTGACACCAATAGAAGTCACTTTCCGCTTATGTATCTAGCGTGACATCTGTAGACTCTTACCTTCAGCTTTGGCTATCTGACGTTATGTTTAAGTTTTAAACAACGAATCAACATCATGGCACATGGGTATTAACCCATACGTGCTCCGTTCCACTTCTAACTCAAGCCTAAGTCCGAAGAATCTCAGCGCAGTGCACGAACTCCGTAGCACCGGCGAGGATCCTAAAAGCATTCGGACGTAACATCAAAAGGCGGTTACCTTTCGTTTGAAGTATCTGTTGTGAGCACAATAGACTGTCACCTGTAGCTTGATGCATCTGATGTGACACTAAAAGGCAGTCACCTGTCTCGTGGGTGTCTGACGGGACACTTGGAGTCTCGTCTTTCTCTTAGTGGCATCAGACGTGGCACCAACATACTGTCACCTACCCTTAATAATCTGGCGTGGCACCAATAGTCACCTTTCACTTGAGGTATCTGTCGGGACATCCGGAGTCTCGTCTTTCTCTAGCTCTCTGTGATTGAAGTAGTCAGAATCTCTCCATTCGCTTCTTGATTGAATTAGTCAGAATCTCTCCATTCTCTCTGCGATCACAGTAGTCAGAATCTCTACATTATCTCCGTGATTGAAGTAGTCAGAATCTCTCCATTCTCTCCGTGATTGAAGTAGTCGGAATCTCTCTAATCTCTCCATGATTGAAGATAGTCAGAATCTCTTCATTCTCTCCATTATGAAAGTAGTCGGAATCTCTCTATTTTCGCTATATGTTTACACCTCCAAGAGTTGTACGTAGTCTAAATTTCAGAAATGCAATTGAAAATAAAAAATTATTGAAGTTGTAAACAGATGATGTGGCAGCCATCTTTTGCTGCGTCTATTGGAGTGCTGGCCAAGTGCCCACAACGAGACAGAAATCATGCCTCCTCTAATGGCCCCACCTATCTGTTGTTTTTGTATGTAATCCTCATTTTCATTTCGCCCACACAACTTTCATTTTCTATTGTTCTGTTGCCAAATCCTGCCCAGTGTTTTGTCTGTTTACACTGTGGGTTAAATACTTTGGGAACTGGTTATTTCCTTGATAAACTGTGGTTCGAATGTGTTTCCTTGTACCATACATGTGTGTCGGGTTTCCATGTGTGTGGCCAACCCACGAGTATGTGTTTTTCTATGTGTATATGTGTATGTGGCCCTAGTGCTGGTCCATGTTAGTGTCCTAGTGTTGGCCCTTGTGTTGGTCCTAGCGATGGTCCATGTTATGTGTCATAGGGTTGGTTCTAATATTGGTCCATGTTATATGTCCTAGTGCTGGTCCTAGCGATGGTCCATGTTATATGCCCTAGTGCTGGTCCTAGCGATGGTCCATGTTAAATGTCCTAGTGCTGGTCCTAGCGATGGTCCATGTTATATGTCCTAGTGCTGGTCCTAGCGATGGTCCATTTTATATTTTCTAGTGTTGATCTTAGTGTTGGCACTAGTGTTGGCCCACTTTTTATGACTTAGTGTTGATGCTGATTGGTTCTTATGTTAGTCTTGTTCATGGCCGTCTTAACAACATGGGCCCATAGGAAAACCAGTGTGCTGCGGCCCCTACGACAACCACTCACAGAAATGAAATGTAAATATCGATACTATAAAATTGACATTAAATTTCCTAGTGTGCTTGTATGTGTCTTTGTTAGTGTGCCTCTGTGTGTATATATGTACGTGTCTTTATTTGAATGTCTGTGTGTATATATATATGTACGTGTCTTCATTTGTGTGCCTGTGTGTATCTGTATTTGTATCTTTGAGTGTGCCTGAGTGTATCTGTATTTGTATCTTTTAGTGTACCTGTGTGTATCTGTATTTGTATCTTTGATTGTGCCTGTGTGTATCTGTATTTGTATCTTTGAGTGTGCCTGTGTGTATCTGTATTTGTATCTTTGAGTGTGCCTGTTTGTATCTGTATTTGTATCTTTGAGTGTGCCTGTGTGTATCTGTATTTGTATCTCTGTGTGTATCAGCGTGTGCTTGTGTGTATCTGTCTGTGTCTGCGCATGTATTTGTGTAAGTGTGTATGTGTGTGTCTAAGTGTTACGGTGTGTAAAGTATAACGTGTAACGAATAGAAAACATCAGTAAACGCAGATTTACTGAGGATACAGACGTTTGAATGTTGTTAAGGAAGATAATGTCAATGTGTTGATCCAAAACTAAGGCCTTTAGTTCAGCCTTTACCTACACTTCTTGGGGACAAACTGTGAGGATTTTAACCACGATCGCATTAGCTGCTGCCACACTACTTAGATACATTTAAGACTACAGTTTGACACAAGCATTTTCCTTAGATGTATTAAGTTGGGCAACAGTTTGACTCAACCGCTTTCATTAGATGTATCAAGTTGAGCCTACAGTTTAAATGAACCACTTTCAAAAGATATATAAAGTTGACCCTACATTTGACACAAAAATTTTCACTAGGTGTATAAATTTGAGCCTACATTTGACACATCTTTCATTAGATGTATAAAGTTGAGCCAACAGTTTGACTTAACCTCTTTCATTAGATGTATAAAGTTGAGCCAACAGTTTGACTTAACCTCTTTCATTAGATGTATCAAGTTGAGCCAACAGTTTGACTCAACCTCTTTCATTAGATGTATCAAGTTGAGCCAACAGTTTGACTTAACCTCTTTCATTAGATGTATTAAGTTGAGCCAACAGTTTGACTTAACCTCTTTCTTTAGATGTTTAAGTTGAGCCAACAGTTTGACTGAATCACTGGCATGCCTGTAGTTTTGGCGCTAGAGGCAGACATTCCTGGCCTCCCCCATACAGTCACACCTCCCCTACTCCCCTTTTTCCTCCCCTTCTTTTTCTGTATTGAGCCTGCTGCAGAACTGACTTTTGTGGAAATCTAAGCAAGCGTGTTTCCACTTCAAACTGTTTCCACTTCAAACTGTTTCCAAGTTTGTTTTAAACAGCAGCTCTTGGCCGCCAGATAGCCCAACCTGGCACTCCCCGCTTATACTGGCAGGTAGCAGCAGCCTTCACTGAATCACTGGCGACTGCTTTCCTCTTGTCTTCCACTTGAAAGCCTCTCTCCATCGTTCTCTGCTTTACTAGATACAGAAAGCTCTGTGCAGCTGCTATCCCACCTGGCATATGTTCACAGCCAGGTAAATGTTTATGGTTCACCTGCAGTGTTCTCATATGCGGCTAGAATCATTAGAGCGCGGCCGGTGAGAGGTCCACATTGTTCCCAATCAGACAAGAATGTCCGTCTGGAAGTAATTACTGTTCCCCGTCAAACAGGGATGTTCGAGTTTTAGTAATCGTTGTTCCTCATCTTGCCAGAAATTTTCAGATGTTAGGAATCATCGTTTCCCCCCCCCCCCCCCCCCCCCCCAACAAACAGAAATGTTCGACATGGAATCATGTTCCCACAACAGACATAAATGTTCGAGAAAGAATCATTGTTTTCCCAACAGACAGGAAT